AGGGAGAAGAGGACAACAAACGAGGGGCTGTGACAAACTGTTTCGTCGGAGTTTCACCGACTCATCAGGAGGTATATATATATTTGACGATATATATTATATATAATATATATTACTTTCTATGACGATATGGAAGAACCTGGCCATTAAGATGGCTATCGTACATGCCCCTGACCACCAGATATGCACATATACCGTTGGCCTTGAGATATACTCTATTTACTATTTAGTCTAAATACTCTATGTAGTATATATAGTATATTCCTTGACTCTATGAAGTTTCACCAACTCGTCAGGAGGCTGAACACTTTACAGTCTGCAGAGTCCCCTGACCAATGATACTATAACTGATAATCCACCTTAACCCCAGTTAGTTGTGATTAAGCATCAAAGGCTGCCCAGCAACTGATACCCTGCAACAAGCTCCCCGCGGGCCCAAGAAAAATCGCGGCGGGATGCAGTACCGGCAGGCCGCGCACTCGGGAAGGGACCGAATCCAGAATTTTCGAATAGAAGTGCATAGCAATGACAGGTGAAGCGCAGTGCCTTCCCTTGGCCGCCGACCTTTTGTGCAGGTGGAGAGTAGCGGAGGGCGGGTGCAAAGTGAGACTGAATCCTGCACTAGCACATGGAAAGATACACTGCCGTATTGCCTTTTGCGCATGTGGCAAGTAGTGGAGCGCGGTCTGTAGTTCTGAAGCGCGCCTCCAGTTTCGAGCGGCGTCGCACCGCTACTCTCCAAATGTGCAAAGCGAGACCGAATCCTGCGCTAGAAGATCGAAAGATACATTGCCGTATTTATTTATTTTTTTTGCCTTTTGTGCATGCAGGGGGGTAGTGGAGCGAGGGAAGGACAACATACCACGAGGACGAGCGCAAGGAGGAGGGGGAAGATGATGAGCGGGAGGAGGTGAACGAAGAACAGGAGTGGTAAGAGGAGGATCGCTACAACAAGGGGGAAGACGACAAGTGCCACGAGGACGAGCGCAAGGAAGAGGGGGAAGATGACGAGCGGGAGGAGGAAAGTGAAGAACAGGACGCACTGAGTCATACTGTGAAATCCCTTCTCAGCATGAATAAAATATGACAGATAGCCAAAAAAATGGGAGGGGGGGGGGGGGGATGAATAATGGAGAGCCCACCCCTCTTTCTTACTTACCTTTCTAGACTGAGACCCCAGGCAATGACACTGACGTCAGACGGAAGCCCCATAGGAAGCAGCATTTCAGGGCGGAACATCCCAGAATTGCCAATTTCCACCCATTTCTGGAAAGTCTCATGGTAACTGCAAAATACGAACAATCACAAACAACAAACAAGAAGGAAAAAGAAATGTTAAGAAACTACTTCTACAAGAACAGGTGGAGGCGAAAGAGGAGGAGGAGGAGGAGGAGGAGGAGAGGAAAATGAGCAGAGTATGAACCTATCAGCAAACAATGCTCAGGTATGTCGCATACCGTAACGGTACAGACCAGAACAAGAACCGACCTCTCTCCCAAAGTACAAGATAGCGCAGCGGAAGGCTAATATACCAATGATCAGCCCAATCAATGTCACAATGCAGACCAAACATACATCGTCATCCTCGCATGGTGTGAAGGTACCTGGCGCTCACATAAGAAGAATGTGCCAGTCCCATACATGCACAGACGAAGATGAGAGGGAAGATGGGAACGTCGTCAACACCAAGTCTTCGGTACAGGTCCCAAATAATCCCCCGTCCAATATCTCAATCCCAATGTCGAGTCTGAACACAAATGTCGAGTCCGAATCCAAATGTCGTCAAATCCGAAAGTCACCAATCTCTCTCTCTCTCTCTCTCTCTCTCTCTCTCTCTCTCTCTCTCTCTCTCTCTCTCTCTCTC